CTGATTGTGAGTATTGTGAGTTTTGTTTATTTTTGTTGATTTTCTTGTTATACTTGTGCATAATATCATAAATGGTTTTGATTTCCTGTCGAGACCGGGTATTTCAATTGACAAGTTTGTTTAATCTAATGGAACTCCTGAAACTATCACAACCAAAGAACCAACAGAGGAAACCTTGACACTAGTATGCGACCAAAATTATTAGTAATATCAATTTTTTTGATGTGTATGGATTTACATTAGGGATCTTATGTATGAATTTTCTTTTCAGTTATTAATAATATCAGTTTTTTATCGTTTCAAATTATTGGTTTATGGTTACTTTCAGTTCTATTGTTTTGATGTATCTGAAGTATAGCAAAAGTAACAATACAAATTGAATTAATGTCAATGAATTTTAAGCAATAATCACACTTCAAAATTTGCATGTGTCTATAATATAACTTTGTCCATGTTTTAAAGTTTTTCAATGTATGAAAAATTATATAATGGTCATTTTACATAATTTTTGATATGTTGTTAAACAGTTAACAATAGCAATGATATAAACTAAATATGCGTCTACAAGTGTTTTAAGATCATGTTTATCTCATGTTTTTGTGACGGTGACTTAAACAATAACGTCAAAAAAATAATGTGTCCAATAATTACCACATTTCAATAAATTCAGTATTCACGTGACTAATAATTCCTATATTGTCACGTTTAAATACTATTTGTGTGTCAAAATATAAAAAAAAATGAATGACATGTTAAAATACAAATAATGTGACAATGTGGCCACAAGTTAAATAACTGTCTATGATTGTAGTACAAACAATAGTCACACTCAAAATGTTTGCGTGTCTAAATGATAAAATAAGTTATACTAATAACCAATTTTTGTGGTAATAAACTGAATGGTCACAATTACAAACACTATTGTGTCTATAAATCAATTACGGTTATTTTTTAGTTGATTTTCTATGTTGAAATGATATAAAATAGTCATAGTTATGACTTTTTATATGTATGAATGATAACATCGGTAATGATAAGTAATATGTAACATCCCAAAATACGAGCCAAAAAAAAAAATTCATTTTTGAAACATATACTTAGCAAACATTAGAAATAAAACATTCACTGATCATATCATTTCATAAAAATGTCGCGTGTCCGGAAACCATTTTATAAAAGCATAATAATGTCAGAGTGCAAATCCCAGAATAACTCATGATGCGGAAATCAATATGTGTGTATGATGTGCCGCTACCGCGCCAGCTCTTTCCCCTTCGACGAAGAGGTACCTGAAAACAAAACTATAAACTGTAAGCACAAAGCTTAGTGAGCTCCCTCATTGTACCACATACCATACAGTTACATAACATACATATATTGTCCGGCATATCTGGGTGCCCGACCTACCCGTTCGGTCCTCTCGACCGGATACTGTCTAGCATATATGGGAGCTGGCCTCCCCTTCGGTCCTCTCGACCAGGTACTGACTAGTATATCTGGGTGCTGGTCTCCCCTTCGGTCCTCTCGACCGGGTACTGACTAGCATATCTGGGTGCTGGTCTCCCCTTCGGTCCTCTCGACCGGGTACTGGGGACTATTTCACCCCTTACTACTACCACATAACACATTTATCACATAATCTATCTAGCATGTCTGGGCACGACCGCCCCTTCGACCCTATCGGTCGGTAATCTGGGGACTATCTCCCCCTACCGTCACTAGTACATAGCGTCATATCATTTTAGCACATAACATATCACAGGTAGTAACAACCCTAGATGAATATCACAGAGACAATCATCTATCATGCAACTCCTACTGGTGGGCCGGCATTGTGGCCGTAGACCCACCGCTACTGGAAGGTAACTCACCTCGTACAAGTGGCTGCTGATAATCTGTGCGGGAAACCTCCGTCCGCTGCTGCTCCGGAAATCCTCCGGCTACAAACCCCATAAACACTCAGTTAGAAACTGATCTCTATACTTAGGGTAAAATGACTATTTACCCCCAACCAAGTCAAGTCAAAGTCAAAGTCAAAGTCAACTTCCACTTGACCAGACTCGCCGAGTTGGGCCGTCAACTCACCGAGTCCCTCACTCTCTACTCGTCCTCATCCGTGACCCTACTCGTCGAGTTGGGCCGTCAACTCGACGAGTTCTTCTCTCATTCGAACGCCCCATGAAAACTCATCCAACTCGCCGAGTTGATGAACAACTCGTCGAGTTGTCCTTTATCTGATGAACCAGATATGTCCTCAACTCGCCGAGTTGATGAACAACTCGCCGAGTTCTAAGGAGATTGCCTTGGACTCGCCGAGTCCGTTCATGCACTCGCCGAGTCCCATGAACTTCCAGCACAATGGCTTAGTCCAGAACGTTGGGTCACTCCCTGGGACCCCCTTAAAACCTTTCCACACTCAACTGGGTTCTTTTGATCCTCAACAGAAAGGGCAAAACCCTTAGACTCGCCGAGTTCAATAGTGGACTCGCCGAGTTGGTCACGTCCATACCCTAAATCTTTGCTTTCTGATGTACATCCTTTGATCAAAAGATAGATCCAAGCTTCTACAATCGATCTAACACGTAAAGTTACAACCTTTACGTGCTTGCATGGGACTTTGAGCTCAAAAGGACATAAAACAAGCTCATATGGCACATGGAACCTTTCATGGGTGCAAAAGCAACCCAAATCTGCCTAGTGACTCTCTGAATGATGTCATTCAGAAGCTCAAACCCCCAACCACGTTTGCAAACATGGTTGGCTACCAAAATGGCTCATAAAAGCCCTAAATCTTCCCAAAGAGGGATCTAACAAATGAAAGAGCAAGGTATAGACTTTATACCTTCTGAAGACTGCAAATGATGCTCACAACTGAATCCCTCTAGCCTCCTCTTGATCCTTCAAGCTTTTCCTTCTTCCTTGAACCACAAAATCACCAAGATCACTCTAAATGCCTTAAAACTCTTCAATAACGGCTAGGGTTTGCTATGGGGGGTCTTTTGGGAGTAAATGGGACGAAGGAGGCCGAGTTAAGGTGTTTAAATAGGGTGCACACCCCTGGATTAGGGTTTTTGTCCAAACAGGGTCTACTCGCCGAGTCCGGGGACCCGACTCGCCGAGTACATCACTTAAACCCCGCGTCCCATCCCGCTTCTACTCGGCGAGTTGGTCCTTCAACTCGCCGAGTCCAAGACCCAAAATGCTAAACATTTAAAGATTTGATAAAAGAATACGTATCAAGAACCAGGTGTTACATAATACTAATATGGCCATAAGCTAATATTAAATCCGTAATTTTAATAAAATGTGTGTCTCTATACGATAACCAATAGTCACCACAATTGATTGTTTTTGTGACTAATTATTAGCAAATCGACACTTATGAAATTAATTACATGTGACATTTTAGCGAATATGATCATGTTCACCGTAATTGCATGTATGCAAAACATACCTAATAGTCTTAATAAACTTTAAACTATGTGACAATTTATTAATAAAACACTAAAACAACATGCATGTCGCAAGTTGATGATATACAGTCACTGCAATTACTAAATAACCATGTCTACTGAAGGTTTAACGCTACAATTAGATAAAATGATTGATTTTAGGAACAAAATTCCCTACTCAATTGTCCCACTTTTATAATACGGCCACATGTTTTCATATCATGCAGACACTACATTTTAAAGTGACCATAAGACTCATATGATGACGTCACCTTCCGTCACACTTTCAGTTAAAAAATAAAATATCACTATACGCATATGATCACACTTTTCTGGTGTGCCCGTAAGTCATTTTTGTACTAGTGAGATACTTCTAATGATTGTTGGAAGACGAAGACGTGACTGCACACATTAATTAATAACTTTAATATTTTGTGATTCCGCGTTTATTATTATGCTCTTATTTGGATGATTGTCTTTTGGAACAAATGTTTTTATGGTTTTGTTATGAAAATGGTATTTTATCTTATTTAAAAATCGAAAAATTTTATTGCGAAAAATAGTACGTTACACCTTCCAACTTCTTTTAAGGAATTAGTTTCTAGAAGTTACGCAACTAGCTCCTGAACTTTTTTAAAATTTCATATACCCATTTCAAATTAGTTTTTTTACTTTTAAGTTTTCCGCGCAATGACAATTCATTATCTTAATTTTTTATATATATATATATTGAACAATTATAGGGAGTTTTTTTTTTGCACGTGACCTTTATAATCAACGGACCGACTCTCATAATACCCATTTAAGCAAATAGTAATAGTAACTTTTGTAATTTCTTTTAGTGCACGTATATATTTAATATTTAGATATAAGAATTAACGACGTTTACCTTGTAGCGATAACCAAATGATAATAGAGTCACTCATATTTTGTGAGGCAAAATATATGTTTGTTTTGGTTATTTGCTATATTAAGTTACATAAAAAATATATATACATTTGGTATAGGTGTACATATCATAAGGCTATCCAGTGCACTCACCCGTCAAATATAGTGAAGAAGAAGCCACATCGTCATCTAAGCATTTCACTAGGTTGTGAAAATTGCGTTTACTAGTGAACAAGAGAGGGAAATAGATGAAAAAAAAAAAATAGAAAGAATGGTCTCTGAAAGCTTCCGTTAAGCTAGTCATTCAAATTTCAATAACACAATTACTAGAAACTGAAACAATTATTTTCACTGGTAAAAATATAGTATGTCATCTAAGGCTTTGACGCGTAAAAACCTCCCTCGTAGGCTGATATGGTTTAGCCTTAGAATAACACCAATGGAGAAAAATGTTACATAGATATGATATAATTTATGTAAAAAACAATTATTTTCCACATCTTGCTCAGAACCACGTGTACCTGACAAAATCCACCTCAGCGTCTATAATCTTCAAATCTCTCGCCTTCTCTCTCACAGAATTTTTTTTGTTATAAATAGCATAGCTAGTCGTTTACTCCAGATCACGTTCACCATAAACATCTTTTGACTACCTTTCATATGATGGCTTCTCCCTCAGATCTTGAAAACCCAATCGCCACCTCCACCCTCCCCTACTCCTACGCCCCATTGCCTGACGGTGAACAACCCGCCGGAAATGATCGCACCATCCGCCCATCCAGAAAGACAGCCCTCTTTCTTGTGTCTGTCTTATTGGCCGTCGCTTTTCTAGTCGCATTGTTCGCCGGAAACAGGCCAATGCTTCCCAAAAACTTGAACACCACTCCGGTGCCTTCCACGGAGGCGACGCCGGAAAAAGTAACACCTTCGTCTCGTGGGGTGGACAAAGGTGTGTCGGAAAAAGCTTTTCATCCATTGTTGGGTGCAGATAATTCGTATCCATGGAGCAACAACATGTTGGATTGGCAAAGAACTGCCTTTCACTTCCAACCCAAGAAAAACTGGATGAATGGTAATTAAATTATATCTTTCTTGCTACTCACACAAACTATGTTAGCTTTTGAGTTAAATTTCACAAGATGAACATGGTGATTAATAATTTCTTCTTTTGTTTTTGCTTGCATTGCTGGTGATGGCTGTTCTCTCTCTACAGATCCTAATGGTAAGTTAGTTCAACTGTTTCCTTTTTATATTATGAAATTATGGATTCAAAATACAAATTATTAAATTTATAATTTAGACAGTTTGATAAAACAATATTCTATCCTAATATAGTAATGGCCCACACACGTTTTCGTGATTCATCATGCATCCTTCCTGGTTAGCTAGCTCATACAACCAATACCATGATTCTTGAATCTTGATTCACCGCTTTAATAATTGTCAAGTATTATTGTTGTTCCTATTATGTAAAGACAACTATTATTTAATCAGTTCATTAAAAATATATCCATTTCTTTAAGATACATATTATATAGTTTTTATATTCTAATTTAAGTAAATGTTGCTACTTTTTGGCAGCTAAATCTACTTCGATAACTTCAAATTTATAACTGGAAAGGAAGAAAGAGAACCACTTTTTAAGCAAAATTTTATTTTTCAAGTACCCATAACTTAAAAAGTACAGAGAGCTGGAGTGACGGTGTTAATTCACCGTCCAACTCTAATATTTATATAAATATTTTTTGAGGTCTACTCTTCTTTACATGCACTTTTTTTACATTTTTATTTAAATTAAAATATATTTCAGGTCCAGTTTTTTACAATGGATGGTACCACCTATTCTATCAATATCATCCCGATGCTCCGGTGTGGGGCAAAATTGTTTGGGGCCACGCCGTTTCTAAGGACCTCATCAACTGGCGCCACCTTCCCATCGCCATGGAAACCGACCAGTGGTATGACGAACAGGGTGTCTGGACTGGTTCCGCCACCATCCTTTCCGATGGTCAACTCGTCGTACTTTACACCGGATCCACCAACGAATCCGTCCAGGTCCAAAACTTAGCTTATCCAGCCGACCCATCTGACCCCCTCCTCATCAACTGGGTCAAATACCCCGGAAACCCGGTTCTCGTCCCACCACCCGGTATTGATAATAAAGATTTCCGTGATCCAACAACCGCATGGAAGACCCCGGAGGGAAAGTGGCGAATCACCATCGGTTCAAAGATCAACAAAACCGGTATTTCATTGGTTTACGACACAGAAGACTTCAGAACCTTTGAGCTTTTAGACGGGTTGCTCCATGCTGTTCCGGGTACGGGTATGTGGGAATGTGTTGATTTTTACCCGATATCAAAACAAGGCGAAAATGGTCTTGACACGTCAGTAGATGGGCCTGGGGTCAAACACATAGTCAAAGCTAGCATGGATGATGATCGAAATGACTATTATGCCATCGGTACTTATGATGCCTACAAGGGGAAATGGACCCCAGATAATCCTACATTAGATGTGGGAATCGGGTTGAGATACGATTACGGAATCTATTACGCCTCCAAAACATTCTTCGACCAAAACAAACAAAGAAGAGTTTTGTGGAGTTGGATTAAAGAGACAGACACCGAAGCCTCCGACATTAAGAAGGGTTGGGCTTCTGTCATGGTACGCTTTCTTATCTTAAAAACATTTACAAATCTTATATTTTTCGACATTTATTTATCATATTTGTATGTTTTTCACAGGGAGTTCCTAGAACTATTGTCTTGGATAAAAAAACACAAAGCAATATAATCCAATGGCCGGTCGAAGAGATCAACAGATTGCGTACAAATCTAACGGTCTTTAAGGATGTCGTGGTAGAAGCCGGCTCACTCGTGCCACTCAACTTGCCTTCAGCGTCTCAGGTACCAGCTTTATTATACCTTTTTTTTTTTCTTTTCAAAATAGCTTTAAAAATAGATGATAGACTTGACATATATAAAAAAGTCCTAATAGTAATTGTGGGTTAATGATTAATTATAAGGTTTCGTATTGAACTTTACAGCTAGATATTGTGGCTGAGTTTGAAGTGGATAAGAAGACAGTGGAGCGATTAAACGAAGTCGATGCTGCATACAATTGTGCCAAACACGGTGGAGCAGCACAACGAGGTACATTGGGACCATTCGGTTTTTCAGTCCTTGCACACGAAGGTCTAGCTGAACACACTCCCGTGTATTTCTATGTTGCCAAAGGAGTTGATGGGAACCTTAAAACATTCTTTTGTGCCGATCAATCGAGGTCATCTAATGCTAATGATGTCGATAAGTCTATTTATGGGAGCATTGTCCCAGTTCTCAAAGGTGAAAAGTTGTCGATGAGAATCTTGGTGGATCATTCGATAGTTGAAAGTTTTGCACAAGAGGGAAGATCGTGTATTACTTCACGTGTTTATCCAACAAAGGCAATCAATAGTAACGCTCAATTATTTTTGTTTAACAATGCTACCGCATCCAAAGTTACCGTCTCAGTCAATGTATGGCAAATGAACTCTGCTCATGTTTAAATATTAGATGTGAAATCTAATTTTTTATGGCTGTTTAAAATCATTTTAAGAGTGGGAAAATAGACCCCTCAATTCTTTTTATTTGCATGTGATGATCATTCCGATATCTTGTTTTTGTACATGGAAATCAAGGAGTTCTGAGATAATAGTCACCTTGTAAACTCCATTGCGTAAATTAAATTCATTTTCAAGGTTATTCTTCCTTATATATTTTTTCAATAATAACATTTTAAATTTAATATAAACATACTTTGTGTTAAATTATTAACATTCTTATCAAATTATTAACATTCTTATCAAACTAATAGTTGTCAATTCATTTTATAAATAGTTTTGGTATTTTGTTATTTTATATGTTGGGTATATTTTTCAAATTTTGTTATTGTTTAAGGACTACAGGTGTAAAACTGTGGTAATCTCTTGCGGGTCTATCGGGTCAATGGGTATATCCCTGCATGGTCCAACTTATTATCCCCATGCATATATATGTGAGTGTAGTCGTGTAGAGTCTCAAACATCTTTTGTAATATTCTCTCGTTTAAGGTTTCACATACGAGTTAAGGTTTCATGAGTCTGTAGCTTGTTCTTCATCTTTGTTACTCAAATCTTTGTTGTGTGATAATCTATTGAGAGTAGTATAGGAATTTGTAGTGAGATTTACATTGTAAGTTAATGTCAAACAAACTGATCTATGAATGAAATAGATTGTTTATGTTGAGAAATCTAGATTTTTATTTTGTACATGGTATCAGAGCTCAAGGAGCTTCTTCGTTGAGCTATTCTAGATCGGCTTTCTGATCTGTTCTTTCGGTGACCCGATTTGGTGGTTCGTATTCCGTGGTTTTCTGGAGACGATGTTCTTGATTCATTGTCGATTTCTTGTTATCATAGTGACGGCGTAACCTCTTTGGGGTTCGCCAGTATTTTCTTCCTTTGAATCAAAACCCTATCAAATTAGGGTTTCTGGAGTTACGGGTTGGTCTCTAACACTTTTCAGTTAGGCTTTCTTTCCTTCCGATCAAGCGTACGCTCTTATTGCGGGTACGTGTCTTGGTATCTTTGTGTAGATCTTCATTGTTCTACTGAAGACTTATTTTTCACCACTGTAAGTGTTCTCAAACCCTTTTTAGTTTAGAGTAATCTCTTAAGAGTATGTGCTGCTCACTATAAGCTTTTTCTGTAACTCTTGATATATATTTGTGTTTAGTTTTAGCGTTGGTTAATTCGAGGTGACCTTTGATGGCACCAACTGCAATGACTGGATGCGTAACATCAAGATGGCTCTTCAATTCGAGGGCAAAGAATATGTCCTTGAAGAAAAACTTGTTGAAATCGATGAAGCCAAAGCTACTCCAGAACAACTAGCCTCCTACGAGAAACACTATGATGATGCAAAAAAAAGTTGCTTGCATCATGGTCAGTACAATGGCTCGTGAGTTGCAGAGGTTCTATGTGGACTACTGGCCATATGAAATGTACAATGACCTTGTGGAAAAGTACCACAAGAGAGCTCGTCAAGAGAAATATGAAGTGCTCAAGTCCCTCATGGCTTGCAAGATGAAAGAGGGAGAGTCTGTGTGCAACGACGTGTAGGGAATCTAAAGATACGTGGAACGCCTTTGTGCATTTTGACGAGGAGTTGGCCATTGTTATGGTCTTGAAATCCTTGCCAAGTTGTTATGATCTGTTCATATTGGCTTATCATTTGAAGAACACAGAAACCACATTGGCCCAACTCCACAACTTGCTACAGATTGGTGAGTCAGTAATGAAGGGAAAGAATCCAACCCCTTCCACTAATGCTCCTGTTCTCGCCATTGGTAAAGTCAAAGTGAAGAAGAGGAAGGCTGCTCTCAAAGCTAACTGGAAGAACAAGGCCCAAGCTTGATCATCTAGAAATGGCCCAAAGACAAGGCCCAACTCATACATTCCAGATGTTAGTGACCGCAAAGAGGCCACTTGTTACTATTGCAATGACAAGGGCCATTAGAAGATGAGCTGCCCCAAGTACCTTTAAGACATCAAGGATGGAAAAGTGAAGCCATCTCCATCACGTACATACACTATTCAAACTAATAACTCACAATTTACTCATTCTTGGGTCTGTGATACAGGATGTGGTTTTCTCATTTGTTCTGATTTGCAGGGGATAAAAGAAAGTGAAGAGGTGGGGCATCGGAGGATGAATCTGATCATGGGAAATAGGCGATCTTCTCATGTTACCAAGATTAGAACTTATCATCTTATGCTTAGTAGTGATGTTAGTTTAGATTTGATAGATTGTTGCTATTCGTCAGAAATGACGCGAAACATTATTTCATTTCATGCATTGCTCAGACAAGGTTTTTGTTATTCATTTAATGATTTGACTGGTTTAATTTTTATTTATAAAAATGGTGTTTTTATATTTGAATCTTTATTTTGTAATTGTGTGTATGAAACTGTGATTTGTGTTGATAACTTAGGCAATAATGTATTTCACATTGATTCGTCCAATGGTTTGGCAAGGCATGCTTGTAGCATTGTCGTCTTGGGCACATTAACAAGAAACGCATCGCTTAACTCCAAAAGGATGGATTCTTGGAATCATTTGACCTAAGGCCAAATGATGAATGCAAATCTTGTCTTTTGGTCAAGATGACAAAATCGCCTTTGACTGGATCTTGTAAAAGAGGTGAAGGTTTTTTTGGACCTTATACACACAGATATGCGTGGAACCTTCAGATCCACCACAATGGATGCTAATCGATTGTATGTAACATTTACGGATGATTACGACAGGTATGGTTATATCTACTTGATCAAACATAAATCAGAACCTTTTAAAAGTTCAAAGAGTTTCAACATGAAGTTGAGAATCAATTAGGTAGGAAAATAAAGATGCTCTAATAAGATAGAGGAGGAGAATATCTTAGTATCGAATTCCACGACTAGCTCAAGGAATGTGGAATAGTTTCACAAATGACTCCTCCTAGAACACTACAACTTAATGGTGTGGCTGAGAGGCACAATCGAACCTTGCTGGACATGGTTCATTCCATGATGAGGCGGGCCACTCTTCCTATTTCCTTCTGGGGGTATACCTTAGATACAGCCGCCCATATCCTCAATCTTATCCTAACTAAAAAGGTTTCCAAAACACGTCACGAAATATAGACAGGGAAAGTTCCCTCGTTAGCACATATCAAAGTCTATGGTTGTGAAGCTTTCGTTAGATGAGAGACCCATGACAAGATAGAAGCCAGAAGTGAGAGATGTATTTTCATTGGCTACCCACAAAAGTATTTTGGATACTTGTTCTACCGACCTAGTGAAAACGTGGTCTTTGTAGCACGAAGATGAGTCTTTCATGAGAGAGAGAGAGAGAGAAAGATAGATAGATAAAGAGAGGGAGAGAGAGAGAGAGAGAGAGCTCATATGTAAAGAGGACAATGGGAGCACAATTGACCTTGAAGAGATTTTAGAGTCAACCAATGAAGGAACCTTAGAAGACACTAGCACTCAACCAAAGGAAGATATTTCAGTTGAGCCAGTTGACATCTCATTACCTCTTCGCCGTTCCAGTAGAGTTAGAATGCCACTAACATTCCATGGTTTTTATATAACGTCAGATGGTGATACATTTATCAGTGATCAAACACTAATAGATTTTGATGAGCCAGCTAACTACAAGGAAGGGATGGCAGGCCCTGAGGTTGCCAAATGGAAAGAGTCAATGGACAATGAGATCAAGTCCATGTATGACAACCAAGTTTGGAATTTGGTTGATCAAGAACCTGGTCGAAAGACAGTTGGTTACAAATGGATCTTCAAGAAGAAGACCGAAATGGATGGAAATGTGCACACATTCAAGGCACGAATGGTTGCGAATGGCTTTACTTAAACCCCAGGGATCGACTATAATGAGACATTCTCACCAGTGGCCAAGATAAAATCTATTAGGATAATGCTCGCCTTTGCTTCTTTTCATGATTATGAAATTTGGTAGATGGATGTCAAAACCGCTTTTCTTAATGGGAAGTTGGTTGAAGATGTTTATGTCATCCAGAGGGTTTTGTTGATGCAAAGTTTCCCAATAGAGTGTGTAAGCTTGAGAAATCCATTTATGGATTGAAACATGAATCTCACAGCTGGAATCTTTGCTTCCATGAGAAAGTCAAAGAGTTTGTTTTTTCTAGAAGTGAAGATGAGACTTGTGTGTATGTCAACGCTAGTGAGAGTATAGTAACTTTTCTAGTATTGTATGTTGATGGCATACTACTTATAGGAAACGACGTTCCAACCTTGCAAGAAGTAAAATCTTGGCTTGGAAAGTAGCCGGTGAAGTGTTGGTCGAGTTCGGTGAACGGGAAACAAAGAAGGTAGAAGGAAAGGGGGAAAGTGAACGAAGAGGGGTGGGTTGGGTATTTAATTTTTTTTTTTTAATATAAAACAATTTATAATTAAATAAAAAAAATATTAAGGGCAATATAGTCATTTTGTGGTTGCCAAAGGATACAATGTGTAAATTTAAACTAACAAGGGATGAAGCGTGTTAGTTTTGAAATAATAAGGGACGGTCCGAGTTAATTTTTAAAAATAGGGACTGAACGTGCATTTTGACACCTGCACGAGGGACGATTCGTATAATTTACTCTTATGATTTTTATTACCTATTGATGAGTTATGTGTAGTTTAGATGACCAATCTGATTACATTGACTTGAATCTTAACTGTTTTATGACTATAAACTGTTAGGATTAGTGATCGAACAAATCCTAGGGTTAGGTTATATTAATTGGTGATTTTGACTGTGTTAGAGAGCTTATATATCTATGTTATGCTTCGATTGATTGTCAAGACCATTGTTGAGAATTCAGTAATCAAGTAATAAATCCATTGGACTATTAACGAATTTAACCATGATTTTGAGATGTAATCTAATATGAACCAAAGTACTTGAAGTGATTTGTTTCCAATCAATTTATCTAGTTCGTTAGTTATTGATTACTTAAGATTTT